CGCCACAGACCGTATAGACGCTCCGAAAATCCTATCACAGACGTTACACACGCTCCGAAAATCCTATCACAGACGTTACACACGCTCCGAAAATCCTATCACAGACGTTACAGACGCCTCAAAAACCCGGTTACAGACGTTACAGGCAGACGCAATGATCCCATGTTGAGGGTGCGAACGTGTGATGGTGGTTTAATTACACATGGAGCTTACCTACACTCGGTATTCATTTATCTACGAAAATTATTACAAATAGTTCAGATTTTTGGAATGATGTAAACACAGAACAGCTCTCGTTCGGAAATCTCCGTTGTAATGATGGCAACAGATTTATCGTGTTTCACATTTTGAATCCCGCAAGGGATTGCGCTGAAAGCTTTTTTTAGAGGTTTTTGGGGTTTTTGAGGGGGAAGGGGGGGTTTGGTCGGAAAACTCAACATTACAAAATTGTAGAGCTCATCGAGTTCTACTTGGAAAGTATGTCAACGTAGTTGGAAAGCTTTTATGAGCGAATCGGCCCAGGAAATACTCGAATCGGGAGCTAGGATATCCTACGTATTTTAATATTCTTTAATATAAGATGGATTTACTGTCAGACTATACCGTGCATATCTACACAGATGTTGATTTTTTCTGTTAATTTTTCTTCATTTCAATCGAATATAAAATGAATTTTTGTTATACAGTTGATTACGGAAGTCGTGGAGCAAATGTTCTCAACTGTAATCTGAATTAGAAATTCTTTTTTAACATACTTACGAATTAACTTTCAAGATTATATGCTAAAAGGACTATGGCGAGTACATAATAATCGAATTCAAATTGCTATGAATGATTTCAGCAAAAGAAAACTTTTCCCGTTAGTCATTCAGTCGAGAGTTAAGCGAGTCTGCATCGACGAGCGTTACTAGATGTTCAAGTTATGTAGAGCCCTGAAGAGTGTTTCATTCATTTAATAAGTAATATGAAACGCGTCGGGAAACTTAAACTCTACATATCTTATTCAAAAAGCACATTTATTCTTCTCCAATTCAATCTATTCTATTTATTCGACATTGTCGACTGCTGAAAAGTAAGAGTTGAAAGCCAGCAAATTGAATTTATTTTTCTTAAGCAAAAATAAATCAAGTTGTTTTTCAATTAAATAGTGAACTTTTCCATGCCAAAGCTATTTATTTGTCAAGCTATTAAAAACTCACCAATTAAATTAAAAAACTCATAAGAAATAGCTTTTTATCATTCGGGAAAACATGGAAAAAAATCTAAAGTTAAGTGCTTGAGTAAAAATATTGCTCCAATCTTCGCAACAATTCCATCTGAGACGCGATTTAATTCGAGTAGACTACTATTTGGGGCGAGCCGGTATGTCTGGATCAGTTGGCTCAGCCGGTATGTCTGGATCAGTTGGCTCAGCTGGTATGTCTGGATCAGTTGGCTCAGCTGGTATGGCTGGATCAGTTGGCTCAGCTGGTATGGCTGGATCAGTTGGTATGAATGGATAAGTTGACTTAGATGTCCCAGCTAGTATCAATTCATTTTCTCCAGATATTTGAAAAGGTTCTACTCCAATCACGTTCTTACATATTGCATTACTAGCTTCTAAAAATTTAGAAATGTCGGAGGCGTCACAAGAAGCCTGTACACAACCAAATATATATTTGAAAGAACTTAAATTCGACTGCGCTTCGCGACACGTACAATCATAGTCCCCTAGTGAACAACTGGATACTGTCTTTGACACAATACAGTAAAGTGAACACGCAGGTAAAGCTTCTATTGCGGCGACAGAGAGATCAGAACAAATCAATAGAGACAGACAACAAATAATAATGAAGAACAGTTTCATGTTGTTGCTTCGACAAGTTTAAACACAAAAACGTCGTTTGGTTACGGCAATCAGAATAAAAAGAAAAAGAAAAAGAAAAAAAAAGTCGATGGTTTAAATACACTCTGTATGGTTCTCTCTTTTTACGACAGAAAAAAAGAAAAGAGAAAAAACCTGTGGTAATAATATTCTTTAGTCAGTCACAGCTGCTTTTGTATATAAAAAAAGTGTATGTTATTAAGACAGTCAATATCTATAGATAGAACAACAAAAAGGCAATTATTTTTTCTCTTGCCATATGTTGCTCTCAACCGAGAATTATAATGGCATATAAGAATGAAGAGCGCTCCATTAGGGCTGTGGAGTTTTGCAAATAAAATGTTTATAAGTTGAGTTCTACTCAACCGATTTGGATAATTCTGTTTTGTTTTACTAGTCTAAAAATCTTGAGGATGTGAGTGTGAGTGAGGATGTACAGGTAGAGGTTTTCTCAAGGTAAAGATAATCTTTATGCTGCAAATGATTCTGTTCATAATCGTGGTGATCATTCGTTCATCGCTCTTTCTTCTGTACGTACGTATAGTGAGTCACCGATACCGGTACTATTGCTGCAATAAATGAAGCGGAACGCTGATGGCGTAGGTCCGCAACATGCTGAGCTCCTCGCCAGCTTCCAGGAGGCAGCTCCCATCAACAGAACAGATATCTCTAACAATCAACATCAACAAAGTAATCAAAACTCGCTGAAACGAGCCAAAGAAGGTGATGATTCATTTGAGCGTGAACATCGATTGGCTTCGGGCAATAACAAATACTTTTACTACAGGAATGGACATCCAATAACCATTACATCTACAACTACATCTTCTGGACATAATGGTACAACTGCTGTTGTACGTCAAGCTTCCTTCCCTCCTTTCAAAATTAATTTTGTCAGTGATGAAGTTCCAAAGGAGCTAGCTATCATCAAGGATATCAACAAGTAACGCAACGTGAGCGCTGCTAGACCCTCTACTAAAAGAAGCTCTCGTGGAATGAAGTTGAATAATTTTCCGAGAATTTCATGAATCACAATCGTTTTTTATCTACAGAGATTCTCATTTTGACTGACATACAAATGAAGCCGAAGCTTGCAAATCTAGACTAGCAGTAAAAGAAGATCCAATTATCGAGGCACACGTTTTTGATAGCATCGATTCATGTTATAACTAATGTTATTGAAGAAGTTTCTACAAATCCTAATGCTCAGATAGTTATATTCGTAACAATTGGTTCAGCAGATGAACGTGTATCATGTATACATCATTTGTGATCAAGTGCAAACAATATTTATTATATCGGAATTTCCATTTAGTTACGAACAACGAGAAGCATTCAAACAATATGATAAAGTAACTAAATATTTGCTAAAATTCTTCTGATAATTTCCTTCTAGGTTTTTTTTATGAGAGATACACCAGTAGATACGGGGATTAATCTTTGTATTAGTTCATTACCTGAAGAATCAATGAAACAAAATCATTTTTCTGAATCGAGGATGTTTCATAGTGTACATGCCATTGAAGAAAATAGTGAACAAATTGAAGAACCTATTGAACGTTCATAGAAACAAGTTGATAAAGATTTTATATTTCGTTATGGAATGTTGCTGTTACTTATGGCTATTCCATCATTCTTGTCGNAGCGATGAACGAATGATCACCACGATTATGAACAGAATCATTTGCAGCATAAAGATTATCTTTACCTTGAGAAAACCTCTACCTGTACATCCTCACTCACACTCACATCCTCAAGATTTTTAGACTAGTAAAACAAAACAGAATTATCCAAATCGGAAAACTTAGCGTCTACATCGACAATTGAAGAATTTCAAGTAAACTATTCATCGAACCAAGCAATCTTTTTCTAAACGAAATCTGGATTAGTTTTTGAAACTATCAGTAAAGCTTTGCGTGAAAAAAATATTCGATATCGCCTATTATTACGCTTTGTTTTACAAGATATCTGTAATGAACTACGTAATATTATATCACAAGAAAAGCAAGATCACACACTGACTGTTTTTTGTGGTCAACAGGCAAGTTGTTATGATATAGCTGATCTTATTTCAGCTTACAAACAACGTTGTTCGATTACAAACATTAGTTTTTTATCAACAACAAAAAATCGAAATGTTGCTCTTGGTTTTTCTCAAGGCGACTGGTGCTCATTCATTTGATACTGATCGTAAAGTAATTCTATTTACAATAACTGCACGAAAATCAGATGCTGCACATTCTCTTCTATTTGCTGATATCTCAAAAGTTTCGTATCATCCGCAAGAAGAAGTTTTATTTGCATCAGGACAAATTTTTAATATTGATGATTTCAAAATTATTATTTTCAATGACAATATACTTATCCATTCATTGGAAATAAGTCTCGATCGTGGATTTCAAGAACGTTTCATTTCTTGTCATAGTCAGTTTACAAATGTATGGATGACAACCAATAATGATTCACTTCTTTTTTTTGGCTAAATGGCTTTCAATTTTTCAACAAATTGATAAAGCCAAAGAACTATATGAATAATTATTTTCAAAATTTAATGATGAAAATAAAAAAGCTGATTGTTATGAAGGATTATTCGAGTTGTGTATGGATCAAAATAATATACAAGAAGCCAAAATGTATCGACAAAATGTTTGAAACAAAATTTGGTACTCCACAAGTGCCTACTGATTTCAATTGTCTTTCATTAGCTGGTGACAGTCTACGGGTATACGATGAAATTGCTTCAGAAATAAAAAGCATAAAGTTCCCGTCTTTTGGAAATCAATCACTTAGTGAAATTCTAGCTTTTATACGAAGCAATGAACACCATGACAGTTTTCAAAAACTTAACCGACTATACTACTCATATGCTATACTAATGATGAAAAACAATATGTATGAAGAAGCTATTACAACTATGGAGAGACAACTGAATAGTTGCAATGCGTCTGGATTTACTTTTCGTGATCCATTTCTGAAAAGTAGACATCATATGCAATTAGGTCATTCGTATCGTCATTTAAGAATAAATGACAAAGCTTTGAAATATTATGAATTGGTATTAGGAGAGAATGTTGGTTTACCATTAGACGAACACGTTGGAATATTAGTTGGTTATGGAAAGGTATTGGACGCCATGAACAACTATAAAGATGCTTTATATCAGTATATTGAAGTGTCTGAAATTTATATCAATAATTCGTCCATATGTAGTGCTGATGAACGTCAAGATATAGAGAAATGTGTTGAACGAGTTTTCATGCAGCGTATTTCAATAGACTAACATTCTTAAATCGATATCACCTTAATCTCATATCTTGAAAGTGTCAGAGTGGTGATCAGGAGAACGATACACACAAGTAACATTTGTCATCCCGACTCGTTTACCGTACTCTTGACTTCAGAACATTTATGCGAATATCATGACTGTTGTTACTTTGAATTTCCGAAAGACATACGAAAGACTTGAACAATCACAGCTGGAATTTTTCCCACAGAAATGTCATTTTCTATAAATATGACCTTAACATTTTGTAGATGAACATGGATTACCTTCGTCAATACTTTGTAGTAAATTTGTAAGCTTATAATATATATATCTGTCGGAGTTGACTTCAATAATTGTAGAGGCAATTAGTTCATTTTACTCATCCTCATAACCTCAAAATAATCAGAATAGCAGATATTTTTTAGGTTGATCACTCTACCATTCAGTAGATCTCTTTTTTATTGTGTAATATCGTTAAATATTTAAATACATGAATTAGAAACTTTTTCAATTAATATGAAATTTTACAGTTTTGTTTGTCAAACAATTAGGTAGATAAGTTAGACAAAAATTTATTTATAAGCTTTCCGGATTTTTCCGAGTCTGATATTACGGGGAACACTGAAGCAGGTGAATCGTAGTAAACGATAGTGATCTATTCTACTGTTCTTGTACCAATAGTATTGGGAGCGGTAAGGTTTCTAGCATTCCATTGGCGATGTAGATTACCCGGTAACAACTTCAGAAAGCCTGCCATCATTGTCTCTCGAAATAAGCGGGATGTTAATGTCGACAAATAGAATGATCTTACATTGATCATATAATAGAAATTGTTTGTTAAACTCAACATAAAATATGTTATTGTCCATTGTTCGGCTGTCTTATTATCATATTGTGTGGCCAAAAAATACCAATACATTCCGATCCATTGTAGAACAAAGAAACTACTCACGAATACTTGAGTAAAGACCATTGCAACAAATTGATTTCGAAAACGGTTTTGATTTGCCGTTGTTACTGCGCCCTGAACAAGATAGAAGAGACCTATTTGACTAAACATCTTTCATAATACTTACGACTCTTTGTCGACCTCGGGAAAATCTTCGATAAGTGAGACCTACAAGAGTTACCATGATTGCTGGCGTTAGTATTCCATGAATGGCTATGTAACTAACAGCATTTTCTGTTGCATGAGTCACACCACATCCATAATCAGGAATGATGTCATATAATAGAGGAGAGTATAATGATTCGATAGAACTAATAATGATAGTGATAAAGATCATTAACGGGACCATCTTCAGTTTGAGAAGACGAGACATTCGTGATGTTGAAGGAAATGTACATGCAAATCGATCAACGAGAGACATGATCAACAGATTTAGTGATAGTTGAGGTAAGACTACTAAAGCGAAGAGTCGGAGTTTACATGTGAAACGATCAGATATTTCGGCAAAAAGACCACCTGGTGATGGATTGAAATATTGTGGACAGAGATTTACAGAAAGGTTGATAATATCAATTAACGAAGCCGAGAGAGTGTAGATACAGAATGCATTCTTACGAAGAGTTGGTTGAAGAAAGGTAAAGAGGTTACCAACGAAACCAATAAGACCGAGAATAGTAATGATGAGCGGAAGTTTAGAGACAAATCTTTGTTGAGTAAGATTTAAATCTTCGATCATTGATTTTGCAGATAATATTCCATTTTCTGACAACATTTTAACAGTACTAAATGTCATTTTCTAAATTATATAATGCATATATGTATATATAGATACAAAAACTATTTCGAGTTCTATTTTCTCTGTCTAAAAAAGACTTGAAAAGAAAATAATGCATCACTTTGATAACGAATTTATTTTAATTTAACGACTAGCAAAAAACAAGAATATATTTTTAACTCTCTATTTATAATACACTTGATGTAATAATAGCCAATGTGTTCATATTCTATCGTCGAATATGAGTAAATACGATTGGAATCGCAATCACATCAGAAGTGACATTATATCTCTCTTTGAGAAAAGTAATTATACAAAAGAAAAATAATATTCTACTGATGTAGGTGGTAACTTACAGAAAAGGCATTCTTATATTCACAAAGAAGATAATTGGTTTTTTTCAAAATTCTTGTTATATTATAAAAAATAATGACAAAATAAATCATTTGTATATAGATAATAAAAAAGAAAGGAAATCATTGACGTATAACAATATAATTATTTCAAACTATTTCTCCATGATAACGAAGAATATAAGCAATCATTATAATAATAATTATAAACGAATATTGAAAGTTTCAGTCTTTTATCGGGGTTTAAAAACTAAATTTCGCTGAATATGAATGATAGTATGAATTGAAAATGTAAACAAAGAGAAGCTATTTAGTTATGTATTATTGTCAGTATTGAGGTCACGAATACCAAAGCCACGTGAAGCAGCACCAACGGGAAGAACAAATCCAGAAAGAAATGTTCCATTTCCTTTGCCATAAAATATGTTAACACTATTTTGAGCTGTCACTTGCACAGATAGTACTACGTTTAAGATTGTTATTTCTATCAAATACTTGAATAGTATTAGTGTTCTAAAGTGAATAAAGAATATCAGGATAACGGTCATCATTTATGTCGCCTTGCCGCTAACGGATTTGGATTTAAATCAGCGGATAAAGTGATTTGTGTATGAAATGTATTATCAGTTTGTCCGTAAAGAATACCTAGGGTTTCTGCACCATTGTTTGTGACAACAACGTCAGATATATTATCACTATTGAAATCATCTACTGCTAACATGTTTGGGTTTCCACTAGCTAAATAAGTCAATTGAGAGCCGTAAGTACCATTTCCTTGATTATAACGTATCCATACATCAGCTGAA